GTCCACCTCTGATTGGCTAAAAAAGGCCAAAATGAAGGTTTTAGCGTTGCCTAAAGTCCTGAGTTAAATCCGATTGAGATGCTTTGACATGAGCTTAATGTTTGGAAATTAAAGCAATACTGTTAAGAGTAGGTAAATTTGGTGGATCTTAAAAATTGTCTGATGAACCGAAACGTGGCCAGTGTGACAAATAAGAAAAAATAAGAAATCAGGAAGGATAAAAATAGTTTTTAAAGATCTGTAAAACAAAAAAACAGCAGTTTGATTGTGGGTGTAAAATCTATGAAAGGAAACTTCTTTGCTTTTGTATTTTGATTTGAATTTTGTCCAATTTCCTCCAAACTTTTTGTTTTCCTTTCTTTCAGAATGCCGACGACAACAGTTACCCGGCAGAGTCCGGGGTCGTTCCAGCGCTGGCTTTTATGGTGGAGCGAGACTGTATCACTGTCCTCAACAATGAAACCGGCTTCCAGGAGAAGAACATTCGGGCTATTTGTGATGTAGGCCGCAGCACTAAGGGAAAACACAAATATGGATACATTGGTAACTGCATTTGGCCCTCTTTCGTTCTTCCACCGTTACAACTGTGTAGTGTTGGAGAACTTAAAACCACATAGACAAATGACGTTCGCCTGTTTTACTTCGTACAGGACAGAAGGGCATTGGCTTCAAGTCAGTGTTTAAGGTCACAGACTGTCCTGAGATTCATTCCAATGGCTTCCACTTGCACTTTGACAAGAACTGTGGCCCCATGGGATACATCCTCCCCCACTGGACTGAAGATACGAGGCCTCTGGATCCACAGCTGAGGGACATAAATCAGCACAGGTCAGATGACTTATTGATCCCAGTACCCTGAGAGTCGATCAGCTAAATTGAATTGATCTGTTACCAGTTTCAGTATTTACACCAGCGCTTTTCTTGGAGCTGTTTCTAAAAACAAACCTCTTATTTTAACTTTGGAGTTCAATATTACACAGTTGTGATAAACTACACTACAAAGTGCAGCTAAAACCCATCTTTACCGTCATCTCCCTATATACTTCATGTTTGTGAGATCCAAAGTAAGAAACGGCATCTGCATTGTCAGCTTCTTGGTCAGGTCGGCTCATTTGTTGCCCTGTAATCTGTGGGGCTCTCAGTGGATCGCTGAAACGCTGACTGTGTCTGTGTGCATAAATCGGCACGTTGTTTGTAGGTCACCAGCTAAACGTTCCTCTGCTTTTTGCAAGCGTGGTCTCACGATAATTTGCTCTGCGTCAGAATCTGACCCTCTTTGTTTATGTCCCCACTCTAGTATAAATACACTGTTAGAAAAAGCATCTTGAAAAAACGGTGATATTCCGGCAGCTGGGGCGCCAAAATACGACCGTATAATTACAGAAAATGACTCCCGCATAAAAATACGGTTATTTCCAGTAATGAAAATACAATTAGTTGCGCTAATTTGACATGGGATCTCGCCTTTTTCAAGTGCCGCTAAACATTAAATTAGGAACATGTTAATGTCATTAAACAATGAAATCATCTATAAATAGGAAAAAAAACATCTTTAAAAAACGGTGATATTCCGGCAGCTGGGGCGCCAAAATACGACCGTATAATTACAGAAAATAACTGTCCCATAAAAATACGGTCATTTTCAGTAATGAAAATAGAGTTTGTTGCGCTAATTTTACATGGGATTCTGCCTTTTCCAAGTGCTTTTAGACATTAAATTAGGAACATTTTAACGTGATCAAACAATGAAATTACCTATAAACAAGGTCACTG